TATATATATATATATATATATAATTTTATTTCAAAAAACTTGTTTATATATTATTTTTATTATTAAGACAATTTGTGAAATAGTTATTAGAAAAAGATGTTGATAATAATTGATGTGTTTTTTTCCCTCTATTTTTGACCATTCTGGTGAAGAAACTTTGTACAGTGAGACTCTTTTCTTTGTATGAAATTGACGTTCATTTCAGTTTTGTTCCTTCATTTCAAATGAGTTGTCATAACATATTCCAAAAACTTTTTTCATTTCTATTTTTATTCACGCATTTCTCATTTCAAGCCGAACACTAAACAACATGAAGTTAACAAAAGGAATAGACTTTAGATAAGAAAAAGGTAAAAACAATATGCCATAAGATTTTAGTAACGATTTTTAATAATGGATACATTAGTGCTTTATTCTTGAAAAACAGGGAATATGGATTTTGTTAAAGTTGTAAAAAATTGGTGTCTTTGTTATGTTATCACTTAATGAAACAACTTAATTAGACTTACATATTAGTTTAAAAATTTGAGTTTCACTAGGAATTAATAGATTAAATGAATTAATTCACTTAATTAAAAAATATACAACTTTTTAAATTTAACATTTTTTAAATATGTAACAAAATTCAAAAAGTTCTAACCTATTTTAAATTTTTTTCTTATTTTATGAGATAAATAAATCATTTATCTTAAAAATTAAATCATAATTCTAAATAAAATCTAAATGATCTCAAAAGTCAATGCAACATATTCATTTTAAAGCTTAAACTTCAATACAACCTAAAATCATATTAAACTTTAAATAACAAAAATACAAATTATTCCTAACATCAAATCTTTGTTGTTATTTATCAGACTATAAAATTAAAGCATTGAATGGATAAATCTAAAACATTTTCATCTCTTGAAGCATCTTCTTTATCCTTATCTACAATAAAAAATATCTTAACTAATAATATTAAAAGACTGAGTAATATATAATTAAAGGAAGTTGGTGTTTAATGGTAGAAATCAAAAAAAGTGATAGTAAAGAGTTTGAAGGTGTGAATGAAGTCACAATGTGGCATTGCGATGGTTGGTGGTTTGTGTGGCAGTGGCCCATCGTACGTTATGCATGGCTATGGTGTGTGACGTGATAATTACAAGTTGCACAAAGTTGGAAGAGAAACTCAAAAACCTTATAGCATACCTTATTGCCTTATGAAAAGAAAATGATTAATAAAATACAAAGGTAATGAATGAATGAAGTGTCATGGGTGTGGGCCTCTCTCTCCCAATTTTTTTTTTAAAAAAAATTGCTTGTGCTTTGGGCTAGACTATTAAGTTAAGAATGAGGTGAGTTTTTCTTTTAGGTCTAGGTTGGCTCACCACGAGTTCAATTCAGTGTTCTTAGATGGTCAGGTTCATTTTTGGCTTGTATTGAAATTTGCAAATCTTTTTTAACCTAACTTGGCTCAGACGCATGATGGATCGAGTTGACCACAAGTTTTAACTCATTTTTAAAAATCTAGCTTTTATTCATTGTAATATTAGAAACACAATGAAGAATATTTTTTTCCTCTCATTCTTGTGAAACATGGTAGACTCATCTTTTTTTCTATAAAGATCATGCTCATTTATTTTTTATTTACTCTTTTCAAACGAGGTGTCATAACAAATTTCAAAAACAACTTATCCTTTCTTCTTTTTGTTTAGATACTTTTTGTACGCTTTAAAATGAACAAAATGTGTTAAAGAACATGAAGTTAAGAAATAACAAAGTTTAATTAGTGTGTCAAGCTCATTCAATCTTGTTTAAATAGGTTAATTCCTTATAGATTGAGTTAAAAAAGTTTAACTCAACTCGAATCACTTTCAATAGGTCAAAGATTTTATAAAATGACTTGATATATTGCGTTACTGGGTTATGTAAGTTAACTCACTTAAGCATGTTTTGTTTTCCTTACTTGTTTCATATATTTATTATAGTACAATTTTAATAGAATGGAGCGACCAACATGTTTACATTGCTAAGTTATAAAATACAAAAAGAAAGAAAGTTGAATTTCTTTCTAATTTTTTAAAAATGTTTTTAGCACTGAGTAATCAAACAATGATTTACATAACAAATAATATGTTAGTGAATTTTTTAAATCCTTTTTTCTTGTAGGCTCTCTTTCTTTAGTTAACACACAAAATAACAAAAATGTAACAAATTAGGAAGAAGATATTATTACTTAGTATTTTTATTCTAGTTTGAATGATAGTGCAAACTACGTCCAGTTCTTAGCCAACTAAGTTTCACTATAAAAACTATTGTAGCGAAGTACAAATGAGTATTTTTCAAATAGTAGCAAGTCTTGGCTTACTCCAGAAGTAATCTTTGACACTTAGCCAATTTTGGTTTAAAACCCTGGGTATTCTTCAAATCATAGTCAGTCCTTCCTAATCCCATTTGAGTACTATTTAAACAACAAGTCACTCCTAACTTAACATGAGTATTCTTTAAATAGCAAACCAATTATGACTCATGATAAAGAAAATATATTTATGTGATCAATGTATCACAGGTTTCCCTCACTGGAGAGAATTTACATCTTTGGACATTTATAAGGTTAAGCACATTATTAGTTTGTTAAAGATTAAACATAAACAATGTTCTTTATAAAGCTTAATTTGGACACACAAAACATTTTGGCAGTTTTTCAACACTTTTTGCAAATCTAACTCTTATTCTTCTTACTTTTTCCTTATTGGTGTTAGCGCTAGGTAGGTGTTTGAGAGAGAATACAACAGGGAGTGTAATGCAGATAAAGAGAAAAAACGAGTGTTATATTTTCTCATTAATAACAACGTACAACATATAATATATAATAGGATGAACAGACTGTCGTTTGACAGTTAAAGCCGTTACACTTTAGTTTATTCAGAACAACTAGAAAATGGATTTATATAGGAGGGGAAGAAAAATGCCTAATACAAATTCTTTTATAGTCATTTTGTCAACTTCATACTCACTTAAATGACTTCCTCGTGTCTGAATAGCTTTGACATTGCATGCATGCATTAAATGTAGTTTTCTTCTTCAAACAACATCTCGATAACTAATTGAATTCATTAAACATTGATTAGATATAACTTTTATTCTATTCAAGATATGAGCACACAGAGGATTACCCATCCCAAGTCATCTCCCAATTAATTCAATAAGAATTTTACTTAAATCGAAACTTATCAAAATCTAAAAAATTGTTTAAAGGATAAAATAACAGTAAAGGGAGTTTGCAAGCATTGGACAATATAAAGAAGAACAAATATATAACGACGGCGTGAGTCTTCTGGTTTATTTTCTGTGTACAAGTATGCGTGTTTGAGCCGGCGTGATTCTGGGTTTCGTTTTCCTGATTGGTGCGTGTGTATTAAAGCTGTGTGGTTACATGTTAGCCCAGTATTATTGCAAGAGAGGAAGCATCGAATCTGTCTGGATAATTATGTTTGGTGTGTTTATTTGTGCATGAAGTTGTATCATCTGCCTTAGCGTTTTATTTGGGGCCTAGTACTGTTTGTTTCATATTTTGCATGTTTGTCTGGTTAGGTTTGTCTTCGCATGTTTGGTAAGACAGTAGTGTCTGATTTAGGCATACTCGAATAGCCCAGTTCCTGATAGCTTCATTTTGACTCCATTACCGTTTTTTACTTTTTTGGTTTACAGTGCATACTTGTTTCATCTTGCAGCTGATGGGCCTGTCACTGTTTCATCTCGCACTTAGTGAACCATTTTCTTCATGTTGGAACATTGGCATGGCCCAATCTTATGGATCAAATGAACAGTTGGACACCCTTTTTATTATCATTAAAAATAACAAAATATATAAAAAAAATCCACTGACGCTTTTCTTAATTTGGGCCTAGCAGCAAAGTCCCTTTGGCACGAATACCCTTTTTCAATAAAAATGTTTGTTTCTTGTAATTCTTAAAATGTCAACTTTTTTCTACAAATAAAATAAAATTTTCATAATTAAAGATCCAATTAAAATAAAAAATAACTAAAAAATCTATTTAAGAAAAATAACGAGAAATAAAAATTAACCATATAATTAAACCTTTTACTTCCGTAGTAAAAGGTAACGACATTTTTTAACGCCAAATTGCACGGACAATTTATCCTTTATTGCGACAAACTTTAATTAAAAAAAAAGATCAGTTTAGTTATTCAAATAAAATACAAAATAAATACATGTAAGACTGGATATGGCATGTCGTGGCAGAATCTAGGCCTTACAATTCCGACGGTAAAACGGCCAAAACCCTTCCTATGATTCTAGAACAATCTCTGGCATTATATCTTCCCTAAACCCTTTATTCATTTCTCTGTAAGGGGTTTTCGTTATTCTAGCTCACACCAAGTCACAGTTAGGGATAATACATCACAAGGAACACTCTCTTACTCTCTGTGTGTGGGAGGAGTTCCAAAGTTATGGCTCCCGTACTGAGACAGAACCATGGCCACGGGCCTCTCTTACCTCTTTTCTTCCTTCTTCCTCCTTTTCAAGGACTTCCCCTCTCAGAAGCGCTTTTCTGCCGCCGCAGCTCGCTCGCCGGAGGAGTTTCTTCTCCGCCGCGGGGCTTAGATGGGCGCCAGAGGCGCGAGAGAAGCTCGCTGTTCGATGTGAGGCCGCCGTGGCCGAGAAGGAGGAGACCACCGGGGAGAAGTTTGAATACCAGGCTGAGGTGTGTTTGTAGTGAGTTTGTAGGTTTGTTAACCTTTTTGTAGTTTTTGGTCGTCTTGAGATAAGGTTCAACCTTTTTGCTATTACGTGTGGCTTGTAATTGCAAGTAAACAAGCTGACATCGTGAAGTGTGTGCGTGTGTGCGTGTGTGCGTGTGTGCGAGAGAAATATTTACTTAAGAAATGAAGTCAATCTCAATTTACTCTTGTACTTGTTTGAATTCGACAAAACACCCGTCATTACTGGTATGTTTGCTTGTGAGAGAGATTTATGAATCTAAATGAATTCCGTGACCTATATGTATGTGTGTGCGTGTGTATATATTTATGTATGTAATGATATATATATCTGCATTTGCATATGATATTTACTACGATCATCTAGTTTTCATTTTGGAGGGATTAAGGAAGTAATTAGTACTCCCAATAAAAAAAAAGTAGTTGTATATTAGCAAATTCCTTTTACTAACACATACATATCTGTTGCATTTAGTTTGAAATTTTGATTATGTAAGTGATAGACTTAATGCATAAAGGAGTGTGTTGTGCGCATGATTTTACTGAAAGAAGGGATATATTTGTTTTTTGCATTTCGCTTGGAATGAAGGGAGATTTCCTGTTATGAAGTGTATTAGTTTTGCTGAAGTACGTGTATTCCATTTTTCTTTTGTGCAGGTGAGTCGATTGTTGGATTTGATTGTTCACAGTCTGTATAGCCACAAGGAAGTTTTCCTTCGTGAACTTGTGAGGTAATCTGACTAATGTTTCCATGTTGCATGATTGTGCTATTATTGTTGAGTAGTGCATATAAAAGAGGTTGCTTTAGTAGATGCCATTGGTTTTTTTCACTTTGGATTTTTGCACCTATATCTAAGGACGGGTTATATGATACGAGTATGCTACCACTGGACTGTGATGTATTTTGTTGATTGTTCTGTTCTTCCAGTAATGCTAGTGACGCTTTGGACAAGTTGAGATTCTTAAGTGTGACTGAGCCTTCTTTGCTCGGAGATGCTGGAGATCTTGAGATACGTATAAAGTCTGATCCAGAAAATGGAACTATTACTATAACGTGTGTATCTGTATTGTTTTGGTTTTATTTCACTTTTCATGGGTACCTTTGAATAGGAGTATTAAACTGTTAACTCTTGACCCTGTAGAGATTACTGTATTGGAATGACTAAGAGAGCTCATTGATTGTCTTGGAAACTATTGCTCAGAGTGGTACATCAAAATTTTTGAAGGCACTTAAGGTGATTTTCCATTGAGCTGAAATGTGGCTTTCATTGATAATTGATGCTTTAATTCTTCAATCATGTTTTCATATCCCCCTTTTGTTATAGGAAAACAAGGATCTAGGAGCAGATAATGGTTTGATCGGACAATTTGGTGTTGGATTCTACTCTGCTTTTCTTGTTGCTGAGAAGGTACAGAGTGGTTTTCTTAAGCATAACCTGCTGGTTGATTTTTCTGATTTTAACTGTTTTCTGAATTTTGCCCCAATTGGCTATTTCTGCTGGCAATCAGGTTGTGTTTCTACGAAGAGCCCAAGATCAGATAAGCAGTATGTGTGGGAAGCAGAAGCTGACAGTAGCTCTTATGTGATAAAGGAAGAAACTGATCCGGAAAACCTTTTGCGGCGTGGTACACAAATTACACTGTATTTAAGAGTGAGTGATTTACTTCGAATTTAGAAAGGTTAAGAAAGGTTACATCGAATGTAAGAACTAAGGAAGATGTTTTTGATGAAGGGTTGAACTCGGATGATATTGTTTGGAGAGGAAACTGTAAAACTTAATTTATTACAGGGACATGTGGTTGATGTCCCAAATAATTATTGTTTTGTTAGCCAGATAATTGATATAATTAAATAGTACAATATTTTAAAATTTCAGGTGGAGGAAATCTGCTTTTTGAAAATTTTTTGTCCTCTTTAATAAAAGGAATAAACATTAGTATAATATTTGGAACATTAATTTAGTGCCGACATTGTTATGTGGTTTAAATCACTTCAAAGTCTTTCTCTACTGGCCAGGAGGATGACAAATATGACTCTCTGAGCCAAACAGGATTCAGGGTTTGGTAAGATTACTCACAGTTTGTTTCCTTCCCCATCTACACATGGCAAGAAAAGTCGAAAACTGTGGAGGTAAGCAGGCCTTCTCCTGTTACAGATTCCTTTGTTGATGTTGGGTGGCAGAAGTGTGCCAAACCAATTATGTGTATACACGTGGTAGTTTTCTACTTTGCCACATATGTTCGGTAGTTTTTAACTGATTCTATTATCAATAATTGTTCTCCCTGCCTTTTCTATTGTTATGAAATGCTTTATTTTAATTTTGTTGTTGGGGAAACATGACCAATTTACTATGTAGGTTAAGACCCCACTCATGGATTCTATATTGTTCAAGGTTGATATCAAGGTTTTGGTATTGATTTCTGTCAGTGAATAATGGGATTTTGTCTTCACTTAATGGTAATTATAAATATTTACTTATCAACCGGGGTAGAAAGGGAACGTGAAATGGTTCCTTGTTGTTTTGTGTTTTGTGTGGGAAAATTTGTTCTACATTAGCTATGGTTCTGTCACCTTTAGGACGACTGGGTTATTGTTAGTTTGAGACAACTGTTAGGTAGAAAGGAAACTTGAAACGGTTCCTTGTTATTTGGTGTTTGTGTTTGAGGTGAGTTTATTCTACGTTAGGATGACTGGCTTATTTTAAGTTTTACATAACCGTGGGTTTCTGTGAATGGGTGTGATATTGCTATCTTTTGCTAGAATATGTCAGGCCAGAGAGGATTGATGTTGGTTGTAATGAGGGATTAGTGGTTGAATAGGAGATGGTTTATAAACAAGTGTTAAGTGATGCTTGAAAACGTGGGTTCTTTTAGAAATTTGTTTCATTCTGGAAGGAGCAACCATTTCTTTTCAATTGAATAGGAAAATATCGTGGATGAATAATGCAAACAATTGAGTATAAAAAATTAATTTTAGTTTATTTATAAAAAAAGCATTAATAATAACTTGTCGAATGACTCATTTTATCCATGTTAAATTATTTACTTTTAATTCTCATTCTCATTTTCTTAAATACTTTTGAAGATGTATGAAATGAGTTTCATGGAGTGGCAAATGAATCAGCTCTAGGTTTTTTGGCCATTAATTTAATTATCAATCAATTAATTAATTTTAATTATGGCAGGGTGGAAGAGGAGGAAGAAACCCAAAGAGGGAAGAACCAAAAGTAGATAGAGGTAATGACTTAGGTCTTCTTATGGTGGTGTTATACTGTTTTTTCTATTTGTCCCCATACCAAGTGTTCTAATTTGTATCATTACGAAGGGATCGTATCTGTTGTGTTATAAGGGTGCGAAAAAGATGTTGAAAAAAGGACTAAAAACCGAGAAAAGTGTGGGATTGGGGAATTAGCCATGAAACAAAGCCAATAGGGGTGAGTTTGAGATATAATATATGAATCCACAATTATTTCGTGCATTTTTTTTATTCATTCTGTCGTAGTGCCTCTTTTACTGGTCTAACTTTGCAGTTCTTTTTTAATTTTTGGTAGATGCGGAACCCAAAAGAAGTGGAAAAGGAGGAGTACAGTGAATTTTACAAGAAGACTTTTAATGAATTCTTAGAGCCACTTGTGCACATACTCATTCCACCACTGAGGTATATTGAAAATTTATTGTATCAGCAGAAGGTCATTTCCTTTACGTAGTTATCAATTTGGTTAGGCTTTAAACTCTGCAGGGTGAGGTCGAGTTCAGAAGCATTCTGTATGTTCCAGGAATGGGACCTCTTAACAACGAAGAAGTAGTGAATCCTAAAACAAAGAACATACGCTTGTATGTCAAGCGTGTATTCATTTCAGATGATTTTGATGGGGAGCTGGTGAGTACTAATTTACCCATAAGCTTCTAACTGAGATTTGTCTTGTATATTTGAAATTTGTGTCAATGCCCTCTTTCATTATATTGTTATTACGAATCATGAAAGAAGGAAAATGTTTGGTTCCTACTCTGGTGTATAACTTCAAGCTCTTATGTGTCATATCTGTGCTTTTGTTGTTTCTTGCTCTTTATGTTATTGACTGTTCTCAGCTACCTAAAAGGGAAGAGCTTGGAGCATTGAAGAGCACAATTGATGTTTTACTTACCGTTTTATTTTTCAGTTTCCACGTTACCTGAGCTTTGTGAAGGGTGTGGTTGACTCAGATGACCTTCCTCTCAATGTTTCTCGAGAGATCCTTCAAGAAAGCAGAATTGTAAGAGGACTACCACTTTTCGTGCTTATATAAATATAACTCATTTCATATGATAAAACATGAAATGATGTTTGATAATATTTTTTTTTTCTAATAATGTTACTTTATTCTAATAATATTGTAATCAGGTAAGAATAATGAGAAAGAGACTTGTCAGGAAGGCATTTGATATGATTCAAGATCTTTCTGAAAGTGAAAATAAAGAGGTTCGTAGCGGCAACTATCTCTTTATATTTTGAATATGAATTTAGAGTCTATTGATTAATGAATAGTTTTGGTGATTCCAGGACTACACAAGAAATTTCTGGGAGAACTTTGGTAGTTTATAAAATTGGGTTGTATTGGAAAGACACTGAAATCATAAGACGCATAACACCGTTATTAAGGTTGTTACACTTCCAAAAGCGAAGATGAACTTAAAAGCTTGGATGATTATGTTGAAAACATGGGAGAAAACCAAAAGGCTATCTTTTACCTAGCAACTGACAGCTTGAAGAGTGCAAAGACTGCTCCATTTGTGGAGAGATTGATTCAGAAAGATATTGAGGTATCTCTACATGTTAATTTGTGCTTGTAGACAGGGAATTGGTCGGGGAGATGGTAGCCAAGGTTGTCAAGAGGGGGTTGTGTCCAGCTTCCCTCTGCAGTACCAACCTGCTATCTCCTGGAGGGTTAGGCTTTCTGGTTTTGTGTATGATTGAAATGCTTGATATAACTTAAGTTAATTGTGTCTATTGTTATAGGTTCTTTATTTGGTTGAACCCATTGATGAAGTTGCCATTCAGAACTTACAGACATATAAAGAAAAAAAATTTGTTGATATCAGTAAGGAAGATTTGGAATTAGGTTTGTATTATTTCCTACCTTGCTTTCAATTGCTCAAATACTATTTTGTTTCCGGGAAATTTGGCTTTAAATATTGTTCTCAAAAAAATTATTGAATCAGGTGATGAGGACGAGGTCACAGAGAGGGAAAACAAACAAGAATACAACCTACTCTGTGATTGGATAAAACAACAGCTTGGTGATAAGGTTGCCAAAGTTCAGATCCTCTAAACGCTGAGTTCATCTCCTTGTGTGCTTGGATCAAGGGAAGTTTGGTTGGTCTGCAAACATTGGAGCGGTTAGTCAGAATTCATTTAGCGTTGCAAGCCATTCTTCAAAGCAGTTTTGATCATTCTCATGACCATATAAGGCTTAACAAATTTCAATTCTCATTTCTTCAGACTAATGAAGGCACAGGCTCTTGGGGACACTTCAAGTTTGGAGTTCATGAGGGGGAGGAGAATATTGGAGATTAATACAGATCACCCCATCATCAAAGATTTGAGTGTGAGTTGACATTGACTTTGGAGTTTATTGATTTATAAACGTTGTTACAATATTAATAAGTTTTCTTATAGTTAGCACACAACATACACACTTAGCATAGACACACTTTTGAGATTAAAAGTACACAATTATTGAATGTAGAAACTGATAGACAGCCATACTCTGAAGCCGAACTTATCTGCGTTATTGTTTTGGATAGGCTGTGTTGAGTCTTTCCCTTCTTCAGGAGCCGCAAGTGCACCTGACAGTAGTGAAGCCAAGAGAGCAGTCGATCTCTTATACGACACAGCTCTAATTTCTAGTGGATTTTCTGTAAGTGCAATATAAAATTTGATTTTTTATATAACATGTATAGACTACATTTGGTCTATAACTCCCTGAAATGATGTTGCGTAATTGATATTGCTAAGCTCATCTAGTAGGATAAGACTTATTTTCCCGTAACAAATATAGGTTATCCGCATTTTTGACTAAACATAGTTTCTCAGTAGAGCAGCCTAATAGCCCGGCTGAGTTGGGTAATATAGTGGGATAATGCTTATTCTGTTGTGACAATTATAGGTTTACTGCAGTTTGATAACATAGTTTATCAAATAAGCCAGGCCTGATAGCCCAGCTGCGTGGGGTAATAAGATTGATGAAATGATGGCCATGGCCGTAGGAGAAGATGGGGTAGATCAGAAGGATGTGCGGAGGGAAAGAAGAAGCAATCTGGGAAGCTGAGTCAAGCTCGAATTGAGGAAAGTTCAGAGCCAATGTTTATGAGCCCTCGAGAGTCCTTGCAGAGAATTTTGACCAATGGAAACCGATTAGGAATACTGTCTCAGAATTTTAAAATTTTGGCATTATAGGGAAAATAATGAATTTAGAGGTGAAAGGAAAATTAGA